TAGGTATTATATAATATGCATATAATTCTTTAATTTTACAGAATAAAATTAAATTAAAAATACAATTGATATTTTTGATAGCAAAATTATATACAGTAATAAACATTGTATTCCATTTATTTTAGCCAACTTTCGTAAGACAGGTATCAAAATAATAATATTACAAAACAGACTGACCGAGATACAATCTCAACTTGCCCATGGTCTTTTAGGATGGGGTGAAATACAAAATAATTACTTGCATTCTGTAAACATTATTCAGAAGTGGCTAATTAGAAATATATATGGGAAAATTTTAATATACTCTAGCGAGCTGTTATATAAGAAATCCAATTTTTAACTATATTATTCTTTTAAAAAGCCCTTCTACATATACGTGAAAAAAATGAAACTCTAACAATCATGCCCATCAAACTAGATATTTAAGGAATAATGTAATTTCATCTAAATGTAATAGATCCATATTGTTCTAAGGCTATTTTCGTTAAAATTGGAAATTTAGTTTGGATAAGTATGATTATATACGAAAGTAAAAAGGATGATCAATTTGATGTGTTTGTTGAAATTTATTTGAAAATCGATCAGCAAAAACGTTATGCAGTACTGGATTATTTCGGTTTGATGGCACTGCCGCTGCATATGTTAGGCTTAGATATTGTCTTCTGAAAGAAAGAGGAAGTTCTCCACTTCCCCAATAGAGACTTTAAATAGGACTTGTGTAGTGAGCACCTAAAGAAATACGTAGACATCTATTTTGGATAATATCCAGTTACTTTAAATGTTTTTTTTTGAGGAGTTGTAGACGAAGGCTCCATAGTCAAGTTTTGATCGAATTATGGATTTGTAAATAAGTATATAAACTTGAATAATCGGCACCCCAGTTTTTAAAGGCTAGTGATCGTAGTGAATATATATCAGGTAGACAGGATTTTTTCAGCTGTTGAATATGTGTCTTCCAAGTTAATTTTTTATCGAACGTCATACCCAAGAATCCGATTTCTTCTTCATAAACCAGTTTTGGCTCGTTTATAATTCTTTTGTTTGGATTTGATTTTTTTTGAGAAACTGATTGCTTTCGTTTTTGAAGTGTTAAACTGAAGTCCACTTGTAGCTGACCATTTCTCACTGTGTGTTAACCTTTTTGAATGTGATTGTGAATCGTTGTTATGTTTTCTCCTCTACAAAAAATAAATAGGTTGTCAGTGTATAATCTAGCTTTGACGGGGTTTTCAATTTGTGTTAATATCGAAGTTATTGCTACTAAGAAGAAAGTTGTGCTTAAAATTGATCCTTGTGTTATACCATTTTGTTGAATTTTTGTTTGAGAATATGTTCCGTCAACTCGAACTTGAAATTGTCTGTTTTCAAGAAAATTTGAAGTGTATTTTATAATGTTACCTCTTATTTACCAGTTGCTGGGTATTTCAATGATTGAATATTTCCAAACTGTATCATATTGTTTTGCTTATATCAAAAAATGTTCCAACACATTGCTGTTTTATTGTAATTACTTCGTGAATTTCTGATTCTACATCACCGAGGTTGTCTAAAGTTAAGCGATATTTTCGGAAACCACATTGTTCTGGAATAATTAATTTGTTTGATTCTAAATACCACATAAGCCTATTGTTTATTACCATCTTTTCTAATATTTTACCTATGCTACATATGAGTGATATCGGTCGATATGTTTGTGGATCTGATTTTGGTTTAGTTGGTTTTAGAGTAGGTATTATGATTGAATTTTTCCATGATTTAGCAAACACGTTTCTGGATAGGATTATATTGTAGATTTTGAGTAGATGTTCTTTAGATTGAGGGCCTAAATTTTTAAGAAATATAAACGGCATATTGTCGGGTCCAGGACAAGTGTTCTTACAATTCTGAAATACATTTTCTAATTCTTCCTTTGTTATTAGTATATTCAGGTCGTTATTGTTTTGATTGTAATATTCTATAGGATTTTTTTTATTTTTTAAGAATTTGGAAGTATAATTTAAGTTACTTGAGTTATATTCATAGGTAGATGCTAGTATATTGGATATTTCTTCTGGGCTTTTATAAATAGTGTTATGTTGAGTTAGAAAGTTGATTGATATTATGGGGTTTGTAACAAGACATTTTGTTGACTTTTTTCCATATTGTTGTAGGGGTTGAGCTATGTATTGTGGTGACATAGTCTCTCCAAGAGTCACGTTTGGCTTTTTTAATGGTATATCTGGCGACTACTCTTAATCTTTTTGAATTCTATAGATTTTTCTTAAGTTTTGTGTCATTTAATTTATTAAAAGCTTGTTTCGATTTTTTTAATGCTTCTTTGCAGTCATGATTCCACCAAGGTACCGACTGATGTTTGTGATCGTACTTAATTATTCCAACGTACTTTTTTGCTGATTCTGTGATTACGTTTGTCAGAGAGTATATTGTTTTGTCTATATCTACATTATCATTTAGGTTTTGCAGGTTGTTTTCAACGTAATTTTAAAATTCTGTCCAATTTGCATCTTCTAAATTCCATTTTAGTTGTTGCGGGGTAGTTGATTGTAGTTCATTGCTTATTATGATAGGGTAGTGATCTCTATCATATAGATCTGGTAACACATCCCACATAAGCGTATTTGTAATTGATGGTTCGCAAATACATAAATCTATACTAGAGCCTTCACCTGTTCTTATGTCAAAGCGCATATGTTGTCCGTCGTTAAGAATATTTAGGTTGATTTTTTTCTATTTTTCGACCTAGAGTTGTTAGTTTTGCTGAACCCCGTAACGGATTAGGTGCATTGAAATCTCCAATTATTATCCGTGGAGCAGGTAGTTGATTTAATAGGTTTGAAATTTCTTTTGAATCGGGTTCTTTATTGGGGGAATGTAAATATTGCAAATTGAAAAAGAAATTTGTCTGTGACTCTAATTCCAATTGCTTCGATAGTAGTTGTTGTGAAGCGGGTTTCTTGTAAACATATCAGACTAGGTTTATGTTTTGAAATTAATGATTTTAACATTTCTAAGTGGGTATATTACCTATTTATGTTCCATTAAATTAGAGAGTTGAAAATGATGTTTTATTAATTTTCTGTTGATGTATCGCTTTCTGTTTGATTTGCTTAAGGTCTAAGTTGATTTGCTTTAATATTTTATTTTTTATTAGAGTGCATTTGACTTTAATTTTTCGGTCCTTCAGGTAAGGGTATATATTAGTTAATAGATCTGTGACCTCTGCTGTTTCTTCTATTTACATTTTGGCGATACTTAACGGGTCTGGTGAGTTCTCACAGTTTTCAAAAAAGTCTAATAGCTGTTCGTAACTTATAGGGTAGTTGGAATTTGGGTTCTCAAATAAAGTTTTACACTATCTTATCATTTCTTCTAGTTTTTTTTGTAGTTTGACATTTTGATCCGATTTTACTTTCTTCTCTTTATTTTTTGGTGTAATAAAAGTAGATTCCTCTGTAGATGTAGTAGCTGGTGAAGAGATTTGGGAGATTGCTTATCTCAAAAGGCTTTGTTGCCTTATTTTCTAGATCTATTTTTGTACTTTTAATGTACATAGATAGCTCAGATGCTATAAAAAAATGAGTGGACGTTTTAAAAAAACCCTTATTGAAAAGTTATTAGGCACATATCCAAACCTATTTTGTAAATATTGCTCGAATATTATTAAATCAGTTACTAGATTAGAAAAGTTAAACATTTCATTAGATCAAAGTATTGAAATTATCCATTCATTAAATGAAAAACCTAAATATTTTGGGGAAACTAACAAAGTGTATCAAAAATTTTGGGCAGTTATAAAAAAATAAGAAATGGATATCAAATAATAATAATTCAAATAAATATTATTAAGATGTGAAATTGTGAAGATAATTAGTTTTACACGTAGATCCCTCAATTATACCTTATTTTAACTTTGCTCGTTTAACTTCATGTGAAGTAAAAATATGTTTTCCGGCATATAAACAATTATTATCAGATAGACGGCAAAATTTTTCTCAAGAAAATTTAGAGAAACATTTAATAATATATAGTTTTAACTGTAATAATAATATAATAAAGAATGATGATGATGAATCAAATAATAAATGAATATAATGATATGGATAATAAAAATTTCAATAAATATTTTTTTTTACTTTTACATACAATTAATTAAATCCCTTCAATACATGTATTACTGCGATTTTTATTTATATGCATTAAATGCATAAAAGCATAAAAAGCTTAATTTAGTGCATATTTCAATTGTTTTTTGTGCATATTTGCATGCATGTTTTAGGGCTTTTTAGGTGCATATTCCCCAGGCTCTATTACTGACTGTATACTTCTCATTGGGCAATTTAGCTAACTTTTTTTATTTAGCTTAACATTATAAGTGTTATCTCTTTTAACACTTTCGTTAACCCTATCAATCTCTCTCGTTAAATAAATGGATTATCTCATTCCAAGTTTTTAGTTTATTCTGATCTACTCATTTGATTTCTTAGGATTCTAAAATCAGACAGCTCCTTATTTCTCCAAACTGTTTGTCGGATGACTTTCTGTCAACGGGCAGTTTTCCTCACATAAGGAGAGTCTTGCATGTTTCAACCAGTCTTAATCTCATTGTTATTTTTTGGCCTTTTAGGATAATCCCGTACTTTTATTTAAGATCCATTCTAAAATATTCCCAATAGGTCACATTAGGATCTCTATAAATCCTCGGTTTGGTTTGACCGAGTTTACCTCAAAGCATCCCTATGCATGATCCGATCAGGATATTGCATCCGTCACATGCCAGCTGCACAGTTAATTAATGCTTTCAAAAATGGTTTTGTTTTCTTCCTTATGCTTTTATATATCAGGTTCGAATCTGGACCGTTCGGCTTATTAAGAAAGTAACTAGCTGCGGAGCTACGAATACCACCTAATAAGATGTCATTCATTTTAATATTACTGAATACCTGCAAGCAAATGGTATACCCAATTAGACCAAAAAATAGAGTTTGACTAAAACAATAGGATGGTTGTTGTAGACTGTATTACCGTAATTAACAAGAACCAAACAATGCAGTTATATAAAAAATATGCTAGCATTTATAATTTGTATGTTTAAAACTTATGTTAAAGAACGTACAGAGTGAGTCAAATTACAAAGCGTAGGAATTATTTCTGACACCGATTTTGTAATTTTAGCCTCACAAAGAACATGGCGATTCGTATTTTGATTGTTATCGTTCCATTGAAGACCCTTCGTGTAGTGATATCTAACCTCAAGACATTTTTCGTTATTCCCAGAATTATCAGGTTGATTTGGGAACCAGTTTGAATAGAGAATTGGTCTGCCTGTCCTCATCCATACCCATTTGTTGTCTGGTAATATAGTTCCTGATGTCCAAAACCAATATTCGGCTCCACCGCCAACTATAAATAAACACGTTAAGTAATATTACATAAGTATTATTAATGTACATTCGCCCACTGAAGATAAGGAATCCAAAATAGGTTCAACGAAAATCTAAGCACCCTAATAGGGTATATTTATACAGAAATGCGATATAAAGATAATCATTGGTGACGTATGATATGATAACAAAGTGATTGAAGAATACCAGGGATGTTTTAGATCAGGAAGAACAACCACTGAAGTATGTTAAAACTAATAAAAAATAATAGCTACGAACAAAACTTAGAACTTCAGATGCTATAGATTTTAAACAAGCATACGAGTACATAAATCAGACGATGCTATATGAAGCGATAAAAACATTAGAAATGCCAGAAAAGCTCTTAAAGGCTAGTAAGAATGATGCTTAGGAACACGATGAATAGGGTAACAATGAAAAGAAGCTTTTCAAGACAGTTCACAGTGAATAAAAGTTTAAAACAAGGGGATGCGTTATTAACGAATTTATTTAACCTAGTGTTAGAACAAATCGTAATAAGATCAAATATAAGCTCAAACCGGACTATTTTCAATAGTAGGGAAGAGTGAATAACGTAAGCTAATAATATGGTATTACTAGCAAGAACAAAAAACATTTAGAAAATATTTTCCAGAAATTCAAATAAGCAGCAAAAAGATACGAATTAATAATAAACCAAACAAAAACGCGATATATGGAAATGAGAGGGGACTAAAAGTAAAAAATGTGTCAAAAACAGCTAAACTGTGAGTCTACGAAACAGTAATCAGACCCACAGTATGTGATGTAAGTCAGTAAAACGTAGATTATAAACCAGCAGGAAGAAAAGACAGTGGAGATCTGGGAAAGAAACGGGCTCAGAAAAATCTTTGAAAGCAGAGAATATTTGGAGAAGATGAACAGAGAAGTGAAAATCAAAGTTAAAGTAACGAAACAGCCTATATACCGATTTGTACCATATTATTGTTTTTGAAACACGATTTTTGAAGTAAAAATCGAAACTCATAACACATTAGTGAAACTTATTGGAGAAACATTACTTTAGAGATAATAAAAAGTTTCATACTACTTAAAGGTACGTAGTAATCACAATATCGATGGAAACGAGAGAAACCGTTTATGACATCCATTTTAATCCTTATCTCTTGCTCTAACTTTATAAACAAGAGCAAACAGGTAGCTGCATATCTATGCGGATAACTTTATAGTATTCAATTTAGTTAAAATAAAATAGCGTTACAGTAACGCCAGTTCTAGGATTGAGAATAAATCAGAATAAAACCGAATTATTGTTTACGTCAAGGTCAAGAAAAAACAATAAAACCTTCTTTCAAACAGATCTACACAACTTCAAAAAGGCAGCAGCGTTCACGTACTTGGGAACACTAGTAACCGAAAACAATGATGAAGATCAGGAGTAAAGAACAGAATAAGCAAAAGAAAACAGGACAATATTACGCAAATAAAAAACTTTTTAGTTTTAAAATACTAGGACAGAATTCGAAAATGCGATTGTAAACACTAATAAGACTCATTGTGGCTTATGATGGTTGTGAAACATGAAATGTTCAGGGATTTTTAAGCATCCTTAGAAAATTTAATATTTTTTATTGAATTACAACTAATGTTTTAAGTCAACATAATAAATTTCTAAATAAAACTGTTTTTAATCGTAAAACGCATTACTTACGGAATTCTCTCATTTGATTATAAAGAAAATCGTTTTCTTGCGCTGATTCTATACTAGCTAAGTCCATATTAAGTGATTTGCAGTGCTCCATTGCTTGAAACCAATTACCCTACAAAAAATTGTACGTCATTTTAATATATATTGTTCTGAAGCTATTTTCTTGTGGCATTTTAAATTAATTACTATTTAACTGGGAATAAGCCACAATTAAAGGTAAAAATACGTTTATTGACGTTTCAATTTCCACTTCGGAAATCGTTCTCAAAATACAAAATTGTTTGTATTTTAAGAACGATTTCCGAAGTGGAAATTGAAACGTCAATAAACGTATTTTTACCTTTAATTGTGGCTTATTCCGAGTTAAATAGTAATTATTTTATTATATATATATATATATATATATATATATATATATATATATATAATATATATATATATATATAATATATATATATATATATATATATATATATGGATGCTGGAATATTGTTATACGATATAAAATTGGCGGATTGATATAAAACTATCTCTTGATAGAAAAAACAAGTTTTTTTGGAATTAAATTGATACATTTAGCCGAACCTTTTTGTTCAATACACTTAGTAAGATATTGTTCCAATTTTATTATATCATCCGAATAGTACTTTTGTTCGAGCTTTTCAAAATACGCCGAAGTTTTAGCGACGACTTCATCATTTGTTGCGAAACGGCGTCCTCCGACCCTTTTTTTTTAGGTTTGGAAACAAAAAAAAATCGCTGGCGGCAAGATCTGGGGAATACGGTGGGTATTCAACCAATTCTTAGGCGAATTCGTGTAATTTTGCCATATCGGTGAGCTGGTGCATTGTCTTGGTGAAAGAGCACTTTTTTGCGTTCCAAACGGGGCGTTTTCGACGCAATTCGGCATCGAATCGATCCAATAATGCTGCGTAGTACTCACCATTGATTGTTTTTACTTTTTTCAAGTAGTTAATGCGGATGATGCCCTTCGCATCCCAGAAAATCACTTTGCCGGTCGAATGTGTACTCTTTGCCTTCTTCAGCGGCCTTTCGTGGGCCGTGATTTGAGGTGTATAATAAAGCACCCATGTGTCATCAACGGTGATAAATCGATGAAAAAAAACCCTTCGAATCGCGCCGTATCATCGCCAAAAGCGTTTCCGTTTTTGTGGTCACACGTTTTTGCATTTGATCGATTGTCAGCAAACGCGGCACCCATTACGCGAATAGATTTTTCATGTCCAAATGATGGTGAATAATGTTGTGTACGCGTTTGTAGGAAATGTTGAGAACCTCTATTAACTCGCAGAGCTTAATTCGACGATCTGCCATAATCATGTCGTGGGATTTGTTGATCATTTCCGGCGTGGTGACTTTATTTTGCCGGGACGCTCATCATCAAAAACACTCGTACGACCACGAACAAATTCAGCTTTTCAAAATTTTACTGTTCCTAACGAAGGTGCAACCTCACCATAACCTTCGTCCAGGTCTGCTCTGATTTGCACATTCGTTTTACCCTTTTTGTGGAGGAACTTAATCACCGAACGATACTCGACTTTTTCCATTTCTATGAAAACACAAAATTTGCTTGCTTCTGACGGCTGTACAAACCAAACTTATTGTTTTTAAAACTTAAAATTTTGACAGACGTCATGTCATGAATGGCAAATGCCAACACCGAAACCAATTCAGTGTCAAGTAGCGTCATCTACCAAAGGCTAGTTTAATATCAATATATCCTCGTAGAAGCTAAAAGAGGAACAAATTACTTACTTTAAATGTATATCCAAAGTAATATAAAGTATTTCCTCCCTTCTCAAGTGCAAGTGCTGGAGCTACAGATTGTGCTATACCTGTATCTAAAATAAATCGTTATAATTAGTAAAAAGTTTGATACATCGCACGTTCCTAAGGAAAGTGTAATAAATCACATTTTTTTCTATCTTCACTTTTCTAAAGGAATGGATAGTGCATCAAATGCTCTATCTCTGAAGAAACCCGTAATAATTTAAGTTCAATAGTTATTGCATAGATGGCGAAAGAATTATTATTCTTCGGAACAGGTTCATCGGCATATTCCGATGAAAACAGTAATAAAATGCAGTTATCGTGGTATGCACTGCGGCACTCCGCTGTTTTACCGATCAAAAGTGTAATAAGTTTAGTTATTACTATCTATTTTAGAATTGTTGTAAACTTTAGTTTCGTGTTCTTCTGGTAAAAGTGTAACATTTCGTGTTGCTACTCTTATTATCGGAATATTTGTCAATATTGCCACTTTAAATTCGACGAAAAATGTAATATTTGTAGTTATTGCTGTTTAGTTTGGAAGAGTTTACACTTTTATTTTGCGTTTTCCGAGGAAGACCGTAATATTTCGAATTGTTACTCTGATCATCGGAATATCTTTCAGTTTTATCACTTTTTCTCACTTTCCGCCGAAAACTGTGGTATTTTTAGATAATACTATTTTCTTCGGTTCTAAGTCCTAAAAAATCTATTTATTTTATGTATACCAATAATGTAATAATAGTATAGTTCTATTGGAAAAATGAATGTTGTTGTTGAACAAAATGTAGAATCGTTCCCTACAAATACCCAACAAAATGTAACTAGCCATAACGAAGATTTAAACTCACGATATTTTGACCTGAAAGATTGTCATAGTGATGGTAGTATTAAAGATCCAAATTATGATTCTGATTTATATTCATCAAGCTGTTCGTCATCTTCAATGAATAGCTGTTCATTAAATAGTTCTTCATCTTCATCGAGCTCATCATCTTTCACTAGATCCGCACATTCCTCACGGTGTACAGACTCTAAAGCTATTTCAAAACTTCATAACCTCGATTAAACTTAGCAAAAGAATCTTCTACTTCAGTAACTGAGTAAGAATCTAACATCGGACAGTCGCAAGACGTTGTAGAAAAAAAAGGCAAGAAAAAGGATTCATAAAGAAACAGAATGGATAAAATTAAAAACTAAGATGTTGCGGAATATGGGTAAAGAGTATATGTTATGTTCAAACTTCAAAAAGTTTATTCCATCGAGAAACGTACAGGATGCATGTACTGATAAATGCAGATTCAGATGTAGCGAGAAAATCGAACAAGATGAGTGAGTGCATATTTTTAATGAGTTTTATAGTTAGAGCAATATTAACAAAAAAAGAATTTATAAATTGAAAATGGAAACTATACAACGAAACTCCAGGTACCAAAATCCTAACAAGAGGCGTCTGAATAATGCATTTTATTTCCAAGTGAATCAAAAGAAAATCCGAATATGTAAACTATTTAAAAAAAATCTTTAAATATAGATGATAGAATAATTGATACAGTAATAAAAAAAGAGCACTTAAGCCGGATCAGTAAGTAAAGACAGAAGAGGAAAGCATGGTAAACATCGTAAAGTAGATTCCAATATAAAAAAAATGACATCTGAGAACATATTTAGTCAATTCCGAAAATTGGAAGCCACTACTTAAAAGCACAGACTACTAGATATTTTATCAAAGGCGATAAAAGTATTGCAGATTTATATAGGGATTATGTTAGCTAATGTAAGGAAGCCAATAAACCTTTTGGAAACTACCATATGTATTCTGACATTTTCAACACAGAATTTAATATATCCTTCTCTGTCCCGAAAAAGGATCAACGCAACCTTTGCTTCTTATTTAATAATGCCAACGAAGCTGAAAAAATAAATTTCGAGCGTGAATATCAGAAACATCAAGAAGAAAAATATTGTCTAGAGCTAAAAATGAAAGCGACAAAAAAGTGTAGCGAGAACGTTTTAGTCGCATGTTTTGATATACAAAGCGGTGTTCCAGCTGCCAAAGTGACACATCAATCTTCTATTATAGATCAAAACTAAATACAATGAACCCAACTAATTCTGAATTGGTAGCGGATAATAAATGGTGCTTTGTATGGCATGAAGGCCAAGGCGGAAAAGGAGTAACCGAAGTGGCTTCATATCTTTTAATGTATCTAGAGCATAAGTCCAAAACCATCAATCCTCCAAATTTGGAAATAGTCTTGTATAGCGACAATTGTGCAGCACAACAAAAAAATAGGTAAGAATCAGATATTTAATTCAACGAAATTCTCTCAATGTTTCTTCTTTATTTTAGATTTTTGATAGCAACACTCATTTATGCAGTACAGACATTTCAGATCAGAGAAATTCCTTATAGGTGGCCACATCCAAACTGAGGGACACTTCACACATTTCGTTATTGAAAAACAGGTATCAAATGGATAATACCCATAGACGGATCAGTTATCAACCTAAAAATGTCATTTTTAGGTTATACGTTCCAATCAGGACCAACTCATGTACCAGACCAGTTTATTTAAATAATAAGAAATGCAAAGAAAAAAGGGGAGCCATACCGAGTCAAAGAGTTAACGTATGAAGATTTCATGAACATCAAACAGTTGATAAATAATCTAGGACCAAATTTCAATATCGATGCAGAAGGAGACCAGATACCTATTAATGATCTTATAGTTGTTAGAGTAAAAAACGATAAACCATTTAAATATTTTTATAAAAATTCTTTCTCTCAGACACATTTCAAGGCAGTCGATATTCTCAAAAGACCGCGTGCTAATGCTAAGCCCATTCAAAATTCACCTAATCGAACACAGTTGCCGACATTAAAAAAAGCTTACAATTCGAAACGACAATTGACTGAGAAAAAAAGAGACGACCTACAGTTTTTGGCGAAAAAAGGGTTATTTCTAAGTATTACCAAGTATTGTATGATTCATTATGTTAAAATATCCATAAAAAATTTAGAAATTTAGAAGGAGATAATTTCAGTTTATACAGTGTTTATGTTCTGTTCAAAAACTATTTTCTAATAAAAATCATGATTCCAATATGTTGTATCTTTAAATTCTTTTATATAGATTTTAACTATTTTTCTAAGAAAACTGTAACATATCAATTTTTAGAAAAAAATTGCTTATCTCAAAAACCGTTATGTTTCTGAAAAAGATTTAGGTAGATTATGAAATAATAATTTATTTACTCTTTCTTAATGCTATTTGAAAATATATAAATTCACTTCCGGGTTCATCTATTCGCATTTTAAAAATGACAAAAATTTTTTTTTGCTCTCCTGAAAATTTTTGTTATTTTAACGAATTACACTTTTCTTAGGAACGTGGGCCATATTTAAAAGTAAGTCATTTTCAACAAAAAAAAAAGGAAAAGATTAAGTTAGGTTAGGTTACTTGTTTAACACGAATCTCGCGGAAATGGAATTAGTAAAACAAAATGTTTTCGTGCGTCAGATAAAGCATGTATTCAGAACTAAACTTAGATGTGAAACGACCTTAAGTAATTATTAAATGAAATCGTCAAACTACAAAAGAAATGAAGGACCAATACCGGCCTTATTCATAAAACATAAGCGAACATTCAGTTTTACTTACCTCTCGTTATCACATAATGGACAGATCCTGCACTATTCATCTCAATATTGAATAAGATCACAAATAATGCCACTACAATGTGTTTTGCCATGACGCTTACCTTGTTCATGTACGAATTTTACTACAAATTTTTCATACATGTATTATACACTTATTTATAGTTTAACTTGAAAAAAATAACGACGTGAGTATACAGAAGGGTTCTATGTTTGTATTACTAACGGAATTCTTCTTATCAAATAATAATATATTTATTTGTATCGACAGAAAGGTATTCATTCATTGCAGAAAAATAACGTAAATTCTCCCATCGTTGCATAATAATATTCGTATTGCTACGAAGACCCATCATTTTTAAGGAATCCCAAAAATATCTCTTTTTTATTTTACCTATTTTACTTATTTTATTTTAAAGTTTTTTTAGGAAAAATCCCTTGTTTCTGGTAGGTGAAGAAAACTTCACCTACCAGATTCTCACGTATAGCTAATAAAAGGGAAACTCTCAGTCGTTTGCTGTAGGCCTTAATTAAAAAAAAATTATTATTTTTTGGTTTTATCAATGAAAACATTGTTAGTGGTTTAGACTGCAATTTTTGTTGTATTGTGTGACATCACAAAAGAAGGGGATTCGCCAAATTTTATCACAAATTTTGACATTACCTCAAAAATGCATAAAATATCAAATTTTTTTTTGCCATATGCTCACTTATTTTTAATACACTTAATTGCTAACTGAGGGTTGGCGGGAAATTAAAATTAATTTGAGCACTTAAAAATTTTAAATGCCAAGCTCGGACCCAAAATGGGCAGCTGAAACAAACAGTTACCAACACGTCTAGCTAGCGTGGTGCTTAAAGGATAAATCCCCTCACGAAAATGTCAGTTGATAATACGCAAATACTCCAGGCAAGTAGGAAATTATTTCCAAAATCTTGCACTAATAAATTATCAGTCGAACCCCCTCTGTGGCTCAGTGGTAAGAGCGCCTACCTTTGAACCTAAAGGTCGTGAGTTCGAATCCCATCTGGAAGAATTTTCGTTTATTAAAATTTATTGAATGAAAGTTGTTTCTATCCATGTGCGATCGGTACTCGCCGGAGGGACCGCAGACGTTCGGATACAATTAGCGTCTCTTAGCAAAGACAATGACGTCGACTTTGCTAAGTATCAAGACAATTGCTCTACACATACACACGCACTACACTAGGTACCTGACTGTACCATGCCAATGATCATAGTTGTCGAGGCATTAACTCAATAAAAAAAAAATTATCAGTCTGTCGCATGGATTCTGGGGGCGGGACAAAAAAATTGACAAAGACAGGAAAAAGTTACCCAAATAAGACGACACTTTATAAAGGAACATATATTGCATGTTCCCTACTATCCGATGAAAGACTAGTCTACTAGCACGTAGATTATTATCCTACGCTTTTACTACGTAGGTGACGACAATATTTCCTTGGAAGGAACCGGTTTCATTATACAAAAACATCTTCAAAATAGTATAGTTTCAGTAAAGAAATTTTTCATAAGAGTGATTTGTCTTACTCTTAAATAAAATACAAGGTTTAATATAAAAATAATACAGGTTTTTGCACCAAAAACAGACCGTGATGAAGAAGAAGTGGGTCTATTTTATAATGATATCGAAGCTGTTCTTAAAGACCATCAAGGACATTTTACTTGTATACAGATTGAACGAAATAAATTCGGAACATAGGAATATAATGTATTTCGGCTCAATTCTGCTGTAGGTGGTTGGCCAACAAAATATTTTTAAATAATTATATTATAAAAATCCAATACTTCAGCGTTCTGCTGGATTCTGAACTCATAAAAATTGAAAGCTACACATAAATCTACGATTTATGCTGTCAAACCAGTTATAGTCCAGGAAATGAAGCATTTCACCTCGCAATTTTTTCGTGCTCCCTGGATTGATTTGAAATTTAACAGAAGGTAGGTAATAGCCTAAGGATCAAAATCTATATCGAACCAAAGTGCGCCAAAGCCTAGGGGGTGTTTGCCACCCCATCTCCGGGGTGAAATTTTTTTTTACGTTTTAACTACAGGTTTCGATTAAAAAAGTGATTCTAAACAGAAAATGTGCTATACATTTTTTTTATAAAATGATATTTTTCAAGTTATTCGCGATTGAAAGTAATAACTTTTAGACGAAAGAATCCACGTTTTTAATCGATTTTTCGCGAATAATTCGAAAATGGTAAATTTTATCAAAAAAAATTGTAGAGAACAAATTTGTAGCTTTTAAAAAGACAAATACAATTCATTTTTTAAAATGTTTTTGGGATATAATAGGAACCGAAATACGGCCTATCAATGTTCAGCGGTTTTCTTCAAATGCCAAATTTGAAAGATTCAAAATCAAATATCGGGAAAATGATGCATTTTTGGAAGAAAACTCACAAAACCTTTTTTAAAGAGCATAAATAGACCTATCATAAAAAAGACTCTAGCTCAAAAATTGAGTGAGTTATGATGAAAATAAGGTCAATACCTCATTTTTACGAAAAAATCGATGAAAACAACCCCCTAACCACCCCCATAATTAAAATCGATCTTCACCCTTCTGAAATCCCCTTTGTACATGTATTGTTAATACGTCCAAGAAGTTTGACCCATTTAAAATGCTTTGTGTTAAAAAAAGTACAGCTTAAAGCGAGAAACGATTTACAATTTCATATTTTTTACCCTTCTTTTTTTAAATATGCCCGAAAATACTGAATATATGAAAAAAATACAAATTACCAAATTGTAGCTTTTTTAATGACTAAAATTATCCTTCATTTAGATTTGTTGTACAATGAATATTTGGCGAGATATAGCCGTTTAAAGCATCGATTTCAAGCACCATCAAGCACCATCTTTTTCGAGCCCTTTAAACTCACCCCATTTAAAAACCAAGGGTTCCAAAAAGATTTAATTCACAGATTCTTGTAGCTCTTAAAAACCTCTACAAATCGTTTTTAAGGAAACACTCTATCGTTAAAAATTAAAGGAAATACGTTAAAGGAAACCAGTGAATTTTTTTCCGGAAAATTTTATTAGTATAGTACAGTACATTTCGGAGCATAATAATCTACAAAACCGGTATACTAGCTAGTGGGGCGTTATACATTCGAAATTTTAAGCGTTCTTATTTTGAAATCCCATACAACAGAATAAAACATATGCTCATATGTCTATGGCTTGGCAATGAAAATATTAAAGCAACAGATTGGGGATGGTATTCCAAAGATGGTTTGTTATTACCCGTACGCATGAACAAACAACCTGCACTCGATGAACTTTTAAAAATTATTTTTTGGCAATGCAAAAAAGGATGCGGTGTTTCATGTGGGTGCAGAAAAGTTGGTTTATACTGTAACTCTACTTGTTCTGGGTGCTCAGGTGAAGGGTGCAATAATAGTCCACCAATAATTGAAGATGAGGATGACATAGATCACGATGAAGATGTAATTGATGACGAATAAAATTAATATTACAATTGTTTTACCTATAAATGTAAATATTTTCAACTATTTATGTAAATGTATAAGAATATATGGTGCCTTTTTATGTTGATAAATTTTTTTGTATTTAATTCTACTTTTTTCAATTTATATCTTATAAATTAGTTTATAAAAACTGCAATGTTGTAAAGGGTGATTTTCAAAAGTTGAAAAGTTGCAAAATTTTGGCAAAAAATTGTTTTCACCTATAGCACTCATAACAATTGATTTTTAAGGGTTGAAAATGTATGAATTTGTATTTTAAAGTATAAAAAAATCACTATTTAACTAATCCAAACCAAATTTCACTCATCTTGAGATTTATAATATTATTTTACAATTTTTGAAAATTAGGGGTAGTTTTCACCCCTAAGAACTATCAGGGTTCATCGGCATGACATAAACTATAGAGCAGAGGGTGAGTTGAGCTTAATTCCAAATTTTTATGCAAATCGTTCTAAGGTGAAATCATTTTCTCGCATTACTAATTTTTTTATATTAATCTCTAATAAGGGTCGCTTTTTAAGGGTTGAAATATGATGGAACTTTATACAAAAGCACGAAACTATCATTATTTAATTAATTCAAACCAAATTTTACCCATATTCAGGTTTAATGTGTTATTTTGTAATTTTTGAAAATTACGGGTAGTTTTCACCCCATAGAACAATCAGGGTTCGTCGACATGACATAAACTATAAAGCAGCGGGTGAATTGAGCTTAAATCCAAATTTTTATCCAAATCGATCCAAGGCGAAATCATTTTTTTAGAATTAGTATTTTTTTTACATTAATCTCTAACAAGGGTTGCTTTTTAAGGGTTGAAATATGATGAAACTCTATTCAAAAGTATAAATAATCATTATTTAACTAATTCAAACCAAATCTAACCCATATTCAGGTTTAATATGTTATTTTATAATTTTTGACAATTAGGGGTAGTTTTCACCCCTAAAACCCTTCAGCGCACTTCGGTTCGATATAGATTTTGATCCTTGGGCTATCACCTACCTTCTGTTAAAATTTGAACTGGATACATGCAGGACGAAAAAATTGCGAGGTTTTAACTATTTTCGAGCTTTATTTCCTGAACTATAATCGTTTCCTTAGACAAACCCGTCTTATGCAAACAACATTGTTGTGAGACAGATAGTTGAACGATATTTTATAGAATGTAAACCCAGGTATGGATTTATTTTTGTCCGAGTTTTATATTGGTCCACTATTTCAAATGCAGTTCAAACACACATGTATTAAATTGTATGTTCCGTTTTAATTTGGTTCAATCTGTATGTGGAAATTTTAACGCCAAAACAGGAATGAAATTCAACCCTATAAAAACACTTTGGCTTGGATGGTTTAAATGAATGTGACGAAATACTGTTAAGATTTATGCTGCAACATAAACTATTACTGGAAAGGAAAAGCTCATAATAAAATAGATTTTATTATCAAGGACAAAAAACACACCGTTAAAGACATCAAGGTTTAAAACAGATTTGTTACCACTAGCGATCATAAAATGGTACGAAGTAAAATAGAAATCAGCTTAAAGAAGAAGAGGTATAATATGATTAAAAAAAAAGAAAAAATAAAAACCATGGATGAAACCATAATATGTAGATAGTTTTAACAGTTATTTAAAAGTTATTAAAAAAAAATATTTTTTTCAAAATTTAGAATTTTTTTCTTTAACTTTTAAACCAAACCAGCAAAAAATTATTATTTGTTCAAAAATAATTCCAGTTTACAG